TCTCTTCTCCCTTCTCCCAAGTTGTAATATTTCCTGGCATGGGTACCACTTGACTGGATAATTCTCTGTCCTAAAGCCTGCCTCTTAGAGCAGTGGTTCTCAACCTTCCTAATGCTGTGGCCCTTTAATACAGTTCCAGTGGGTTGTGCTGTCTTAGAGTTTGCCTCTGGCCTTTGTTCCCTGCTACCACCTGGTAGGATCTGGGTTCCTGTGGCTCCCCTGGCTGTGCATGTCCCAACTCACTGCTGTGGCCTTTGGTCCATGTATTGAGATTAAGAACTCCTGGAGGACGGGGCTTCGGTTTCCCCCCAGATATCTGCTCATGACTAAGCACAGAATAAGGGGCTTGCTGAGTGGCACTCGATGGAATTAAAAAGTTAGTTTTACCAAAACTTTCAGTATATCCTAGAGCAAGCCCCTGTCTTCCTCGGGTGGTCACCCATCTTGATGTTTCATTGCACTGTGCTGTGCTTCTGTCTTGAGAACTGACTAGTGAGGAGACAGGCACACTACCACACTAGGCTGCCAGATGGAATAAGCTCAGGGAGGGGAAAAGGTGGGCAGTGGGGGTGGGGAAAGGTGAATGGGGATTTGAAGGAGATGAATGGGGATGAGGTCCATAGATTGCACTGTCTGCAGCAGCATCCCTAGCTGGGCTCAGTGGGGCTGAGGGAGGAAACATCAGGCATCCAGACCTGCTGACAAGCATTCCTGAGCAGCCTGTGCCAATGTGGGTGGGGGATAAAGAAATGACACAGAGGAAGAGGGAGTAGAGAGGGCTATGGACCCCAGCTGCAGGCAGGGTGGGCAGTTTCTTAGTACAGTATGGGCAGGTGGACTGGTGGCCACTTTCTCTGGAGAGCCTTGAATGGAGTGTTAATCTGTCCTGGATGCCTGCTGTGGACTGGGAATAGGGTGCTGGTCATATATTAGCTGTACTAAAGGGCTGCTGCACAATTTGCTTTCCTGTAGTTTCTCCCAGGAGCCCCGTGGAATATCAGAATAGCTGGTCTTCCAGTGCCCACTCATATGCTTGCTCCAGGCCAGCTTTTGATCTTGGCTCTGACAACCTTAGAATCATACTGTTTCTAGGTCACTGGACTGTAGCACACTGGTGAGAGAGAGCACAGCTTCAGAGCCAAGAACCAGGCATTTCTCTTTTTCATTAGCTATGTGACCTTGGTAGGTTATTTCACTTCCTAAGCCTCAGTCTGTGAAATCTGTGAAATGGGGTCATATGTATCACAACAGGTTGTTGTGAGGGTTGGAAACAATGTAAATAACACACCTACTTCAGGCTTGAAACATGAAGAGACAAAATAAATGGGAGTGTTATTAATTTCTTTCCAGGGTAAGAATCCTATCTGTGGCTTTAGTGGAAGGAAGTCAGCATCTGCTTGCCCAGCCCCTGGGATGGGGAGCTCACCCCTCCAGGGGCAGATCTGCCTGGAAAACCTTCCTGAGGTATAGTTAGGACCTATCCCAGTTCTGTCTCTGGGGCCACAGTGTATGCTGCTCTGCAGCATTTCCCTCAAAGAATCTCAAGGGATCTTACTGTGCTTGCCTGCATTGCAGGAGCAAGGTTCAGAAAGTCCCCAGCCTTGTTCAAAATGGTACATTTTAAGTCAGGCTTATTAAGTCACAGAAATCCCTTGCCTTGTCTGGTGGAGTTTGGACAGTAATAGATTATATCTTCCTGAGTCTGCTTTTTTCCTGAGTGAACTCTCCCAATGCCTTTGAAAATTCCTCATAGAAGAACATTCTTTATGGGAGAACTGGGTTCTGGTCTGAAGTCTATCACTTCAGGGCAAGTTACTTATCTTCACTGAGCTTCCAGTTCTTCACTGTAAAAAGGAAGAAAATAATACTATTTCATAGGGCTATAGTGAGGATTAGCTCATAAAAATAATATGCAAGGTTAGGGTTTAGAAAGCCACTTGGTAAATATTAAAATACATTTCTTAAATATCACATTTTGGAAAAAGGAGCTAGCAGGTAAGCCCATCTGTTATTGCTCTTAGCTCTTTTTTTTTTTTTTTTTAATTTTTGCAAGTTTTTTTTTGGCCAGGGCTGGGTTTGAACCCACCACCTCCGGCATATGGGGCTGGCGCCCTACTTCTTTGAGCCACAGGCACCACCCTGCTCTTAGCTCTTTGTAAAACCTCCAAAGGAAACCATTCCACAAAGTCACCGGCACTCCTGAATGAAGGCGAATCAGGTAGGGATGCCCTCCTAAATCCATAAAATAAAGTCCCAAGGTCTGGCTTCATCTGTGAAAAGCCTACTAAGTTCCAGGCTCACTTATCCACCTTACTCTGTTCACCAAAGCTCAGAGAAAGCCCAGCGGATCAGTGAATGAGGAAGGATCCCAAGTCTTCTAACACCCAGCACCTTTATGCCCCAGAACTTATTTCCTGAGAGAAATGGAGGGAGGTTAATCCCTCCCCTGAGGCCTGTTGCACTCAGGGCTAGGATTCAGCAAATCTTTGTTAAGCACCTATGTGCAGGATATTGCAGTTGAGCAAGTACTGTGTTACCCCTATTTCACTAGCCTAGTGACATTCATGGAACTGTTGTTTGGAATTCAGTCTTGATGAAGGCTTAGGCTGATTCTATCTTGCTCACCCCTACATAGTCAGTGCCTGCCACAGGTTTGCTAAAAGCAGGACCCTAGCAAATATTTTTTAAATGATGAATCAATGAGCATTTATTGAGCATTGACTATGTGCCAGGTCCTGGACTAGGAGAAATACTATTTAATACAAGCCTATGAGCCTTCTATTACACCTCCATTATACGAGTTTGGAAACAAAGGCTGAAAGAGATAAACTGAATAGGCCAAGCCTTCCCAGTGAATTGATGGTGGAGCTGAGCCTGGAGCCTAGCTTTGGCCTGGGCTGTAGCTGCTGTTCCACAGCTGTCAGGGCCCTGGGCCTCCTCCCACCTGTTCCTTTCACCCAGGCCTTCCTTAATCTAAGATTCTGCTGAAGAGCTGACTTTAGAAACTAGCAAAGGAAGACTGGTCTCTTTTTTTTTTCTTTTTGAGACAGAGTCACATTATGTCACTCTCAGTAGAGTGCTATGGCGTCACAGCTCACAGTAACCTCAAATTCTTGGGCTTAAGCAACTCTCTTACCTCAGCCTCCCAAGCAGCTGGGACTAAAGGCGCCCACCACATTGCCCAACTATTTTGTTGTTGTTGTTGTTGTTGTTTAGCAGCCCTTAGCTGGGTTCAAACCCATCAGCCGGGAAGCATGTGGCCCACATTCTGACCACTGAGCTATGGACGCCCCAAGGAAGACTGGTCTCTTAGTTCATATACACCTCTAGATTACTTTGACTGAAGTATATTTCTGATTCTATCACTTTCCTTTATAAGAATCGAGACTGACTCAATGTAAACAATCTGGATTCAGGTTTTCTACCTTTCCAATTTCTGGCTATGTAGTCACTTGGCAAGCCGCTGGGTCTTTCCAGGCCTCATTTACCTTCTAATCTTTTGTCTGATTGCATTTCTGAGAATAGGTGTCTGGGGCCCCAACTTCGGAAAAAACTATGGAGCAATCAGCTCAACCACCACACACCCATGTGGCTCAGAACAACTCTCTGGCCACGGGGAAAAGGTATTTCTACTCTTTTAAGGACCCCAAGGGAAGAGCTATTACCCCTCCCTATAGATGGTCTGGACAGAGCAAGAAGTTGGCAGATGAAGCTCACTCAGTCAAGGGCGGGCAGAGTGGACTGGTACCCAGAAGTCCTGTCTCCCACACAAGGCCTTCCTCTACGTCCCCTCCTGCCTCCTATTCCTTTCCTCACGGTTATTATCCTGCACCAGTTTTTTTTTTTTTTTTTTTAAATAAATAACCCATAGAACCCTCCCTCACACAGAGATTCTAATGCGGCTGTGTGCCCTTCGTTAAGTCTTCTCTCTATGGGCACTAGCTTCCTCATCTGGGAAATGGGGGGCCTGGCCTTAATGACCTTTCAGCTCCCTTACAGCACAGAATCCGTGATCTTTGACTTGAATGCCCTGTAGTAGAGAGCTGTTTTCTCCTTTGCCCAGCAACTGCCTATCCGCCCCACAATTGCAATGGCCAGGCACCTGTGGCCCACCGCTAAAGGATTTGTCATTGCTCGCCCCCTTGGTGAACGTCTAGCTGGTAGGGACAAAGGGGGTACAGAAGGGAAGCAAAACATGGAATTCCCCTACTTCCACAGGAATGTTGCCCCATCCCTACCACAAAAATTTCACTGCGAGGGTCGTCCCGCCTCACAACCCCGGCCATATACATATACTCGGTCGCCTCTTAGGCAGACAAGAGGCGGGGGCGGCCTGTGCGCGTGCGTCGGCGCTGAGCCCTCTCCAGCCCACGTGCGCGCCCCCGATTGGAGGCGCGCGCCGCGGAGGGCCGGCGGGAAAGCGCGCGGGAAGCCCCCGGCAGGCTCCTAGTGTGGGGGAGGGGGTCAGGAGGCGTTTGGAATGTGCCACTCTCGGAGAGAAAGGGGGGATTTCTGCTTTCCGCTAGCGTTTATCTCCCTCCCTTCACCGAGCAATCCGTTAGTTCCCCCCGTCCCCGGTCGTGATACGAAGCTTCGGGCTGCGGCCCCGTTTCCCTCCTTGCTGCTTGGCCCGGCCCCTCGAATCCAGCTCTGGACTGAGCGGTTCCCTCCGCCGCCGGAGCGGGGCGCCGCGCTTCGCAGTGGGGCCGGAAATTCCCGCGGCCTGAGTGGTGGAGCCCTAGCCAGGAGCGCGGCGCCGCCTTCCTCCTCCCCGGGCCGGGCGGAGGCGTTGGGCCCAGCTAGGGCTGGACTGCCTAAGTGGGTGGGGTGAGGGGGGCCGTCGCGTCCGCCCGGAGCTGCAGAGCCGGCAGCGGACACTGACTGCGGACGACGCGGCTGCTTCTTACCAGCCGCACTGCGAGCAGGGAGACCCTCGCGCCCCCGCTCCTGGGCCCCCGCCCCTTCTCGGTCTCCGCCTCCTTCCTCACACACCCCCCGGGCGGCCAGGGCCCAGGCCTTCTCGCTGCTCCTCCCCTTTCTCTTCACACTAGCTCTCCTACCCCGGTCCTCCAGTCGCCCGCTGGCCTGGCTCCCTCCCGGGCCAGTCCTTTCTAGGAGCTCCTTTTACACGCATACACACACGCGCGCGCTTGTTCGTTCCCTGGGCTGTCCCTTCCTCTCCGGCTTTTCTCCTGGCCCTTGCTAACGCTGCCGTCGGGAGAGGATTGATGTCCCTTCAGCATCATGCAGCCGCCGCCGAGGAAGGTAAAGACGCAGCTGGGGGGCTTTGGGGTTTTCGGGGGATGCGTACAAGGAATGCAGCGGGCTCGACTGCTGCGCCCCCTCCCTCTTTCCGCAAGGGGCCGTGATCGCCCTCGCCTTGGGCTTGTCACAGAGTTGCCGCCGGCTCCTGGCGGGGAGCGGGTGTGTGAGGTGCCTTTCTGACCGAGGGGCGGCCAGGGCTTATCCTCTGCGCTGGAGACCCCCAGACATTTCACAAGAGTTTCAGGTGTGCATTTGTGTGTGTGTGTGTGTGTTTTCTGTGCGCGCGCGCATGGCAGTGTTGCCCGCTGCAAAGTGCATTCTCGGGGCTGCACTGAGGGAAGGCGGGGAAGCCCCTGCAGCTTTGCAGAACCTTGTGCGTGTGTGATTGTTTAGTCTGCACCAGGTTTGAATTCTCCATCCGCTTGTCGCCACCACCGTGCGTTTGCAAATTTGCGGGGGATTTGTTTAAAGCCTAGCCTTAAGATTTGGCCTGCTTTCCCACGAGGAGACCAAAAAGAAGTTGGAATAGTCAATGCCTCCCCACCCCAGGGGAAAACAAATGGTGGTGACGAGTCCTGCCTTCCCCCCGACCCGCCCCCTGGCTGGAGGGCGAGGAGGCTGTGGTCTTTTCCCAGGAAAGCGAGAACAGGGCCGCGCGTGGCGTGTGCACCGCAATCTGGGCTTGGATGGTGAGGGTGGGAGTGACGGGTGCTCCGGGCATGTCAGCAGCTTCCCCACTGCGCCTTTCCGCAGCTCTCCCAGGAGGCGAGGCTGTGTCCTTGTATTTTTAATCCTGCAGTTGGATACTGAGTGTCTACTCTGGGTACTAGGTGGAGGAGGCCGTTCTGTCCTCCCCTCCTTCCTTTTCTTTCTCAATCCGGGTTTCTCCAGTTAAGTGAGTCTTTTTCTTTCTAACACGCACCCCCACCCCTCCCAGTAGTCCCTCTCTGGCGGCCAAGATTCCAGACAGACCGTAACCTCGAACCCTGGAGTCCCAGCCTTGGCGGGTGAGGCTCTAGCCAGCTGGCATTTGCTTTTCTCGCTGTTTGAAGTGGAGCCGCCACAGGACCGACTTGCTGGGGTAGTTTAAAAGCCCTGCATATGCTGGAAGGTCACTTTTGCTTTCTCCTTTGTGAGAAAGACTGTGATTTGGTGCGCTGTCAGTGTGTGGAGTAGAGGGCATCATCTTGAGACTGTGCTTTCTTGCAGCCATTATGGAATAATTTATGTAGTCAATTCAATTATTTTATGATTGTGTACATGTCAGTCATTAGATGTTAGGTATTCTTAGGCTCCAATTTCCCACCTATGCTGTTCACCTCCTGGTGGTTAATGACTTTGAATCTTTTTAAGAGAAATAGATTCTTAAAACTCTGAGGACACCTAAATATGTATTGATCTTGTGCATAAAATGGAATGACTGGCAGTTCATTTTGCACCTCTTTAATCCATGATTTTTATATCTGTGTATTTTCATTTAGCCTTTGTTTCAGGTTATTAGGCTAGTTTTTTCATTAAGTATCCACATTAAATAAAACTAGATGGCTAATCATGAATTTATGGTCTTGAGGGGAGAGGTGGACAAGAGATATATATTTTGACAGATGTGAAGTATTTTCTTTAAGCAGTTTTCTTTTTTTGTAAAAGTTGGGGTAAAGCCTTCATAAATGTGTGGTGTATTTTAGGTGAAAGTTACACAAGAACTGAGAAACATTCAAGTTGAGCAGATGACAAAACTTCAAGCCAAACATCAAGCAGAATGTGATTTGCTTGAAGATATGAGGTAAGGTTATAGTAAATATTGTAGTTTAAGAACTTTTATATCTCTGTTTCAAAGAATCTTTGCGTTATCAACCCCAGGAACTGATGATGGAATTTCCTTTTGGATTTCCTGCTTTAAGGCTGTTAGAACTTGGCTCAGCTGGAAATTATAACTGTACCTAACACAATGCAAACTTTTTCCTTCAGTGGGAGATCCTATGATACAATTGTTATGAAAAAACAAGGGCCTTAAAGATTTATCAGTCAAATTGTATAATTGAAGTAACAGTTTTTATTTAAATAATCTTTCCACTGAATTGTAAAATTATTTATTGATCTTAGCAATTTTGCATGTTAGTTTTTTAAACCTGTGGTTAATGGTTAACGTTTGGGGGTAAGCTACTCAATCCCAGATGATTGTATGCTAGCACTGTTTGTTAGAACATGACAAATAGTACTTTGTCTTTGAGTTTTAAATTCAGTGAGAAGAGCATATCATATTTTATTTTATTATTAAAGTTACCAACATTCATAATCAAGATGCCTTTGAATTTAATAGATAAAACATCTTGCTGACATTGTAAAAATGTGTATCTTTATAGAAGGAGCATGGCTTACTTTATTGAAAGAAACACTACTTATTTTATTTAACAATCTTGTAATACAAACTGACAGTTTAACAAAGATATTTTTGCAAAGGATGGAAGATGATTTGCATGTTGAAACAAAGTGGCTATAATTCTTACTTCTCTTTAGTAATACATTTATTAGATTGTAATTGAGCCTATAAGCCTCATCAGTTGTCTGTTTTTCCTGTAGTACACTAACTTCATGTTGGTTTCGTGGAAAATACTAACTATATGTTGTTATAAAATTATATATGTTTGGATAGCTGAATTGTTTATAGCAAAAAGATCCTTATAATGAGGTATCTGTATGAGGAATTATGCTAGTCAATGGCAATAACATGGGTGCTTGCTCTCAAGGAGACCATAATCCAGTGGGGGAAACAAATATTTAGCTATACAATTATATAAATTGGTTGGACTAGCAGGGGTGTCCAACTTTTTTTTTTGCTGCTGCACATTGGAAAAATAAGACTTGTCTTGGGCCACACATTAAATACACAAACACTGATGATGAGCAAATAAAAGGTCTGTGCTTACTTTTTCTGATATCAGACACCATAGATAAGCAAAAGAAGTCCTCACAAAATCAGCATGTGGCCAGCAAGCCATAGGTTGGACACCCATGTTTTAAGGATTTCCTTTTTCCTTTCTCCATATTTAACTTAGGTACTATTTTTAAGCATCTCTGTTGTATTTATCTTTTCAGGGTTTCTGACTGAGGCATATGAATCTATTTACATTCAACTTGCATAGATCAAGATATATCTAGTCGTTTTCTGACTGAAAACTAAAAGTACATTTTAGTTTTGTATTTGTCTATCGTTTACTTTTTGTTAGAACTGGAAAGGAAATTTTTAGACTTAAAAGTTCCTGTTCAGGATATCTGAAACTTTACACATGATTAAAAATTCAAGATTTTTAACCTTACTTCAGTGAACTTGAAGTAAGGTATTTAGTAAAATCTGTAGATGAAGGAAGTAATAAATATTCAGACGTAGTTCAGGATCACAAAATGAGCGTGTAAGTAAAAATCTCATGTGGGATGTGGATGGTCACTGGTCATCAAAATGTTGTTGATTGTTTCTTAATTATAATCTTTTCTCTTTTCCTCCTATTGCTTATACCTTGGTGCTGAGCTGATGGTCAGGAATGTAGATATTGGAGACAGACAGTCCTGAGTTTGTGTCCAGGGTCTGTCACCTGCTATCTGTGCTGACTTCTGGAAATGACTTGATCTTTCTAAACTTTAGTTTTCTCTTTTGTAAAATGGGACAGTAATGTCCTCTATTCATGCAGATCAAATGACAGTGCATGTAAGATGTGGCACACATTTAAGATAAGTTGATGTAGGCTGTTGTTCTTGCTGTTGTTGTTTAGTTTGTATTATTGCTGATCCATCACATTTCACTTGCATTTTTACAGTTAATACCCCTAATTACTGCAGTAATGTCTTTATATCTTCCATTTCCCATCTCTCCTTTTAAATATGTCATCTATATTGCTTCCAGTTAAGCTTTCTAAAAACATCGTTTATTATATATCACTTCTCTATGGCCTTTTGGATAAAGGCCAAACACCTTGTCATGGTACATAGGGTTCTCTGAGCCTAGCTGCAAGCTTACTTGATTACTACCTGGCTTAATTACTACCATTTCATGCCCATGCATCTTTCTTCTTTACCTCTGCTCTCGCCACTCAGGACATCTGGATATCTAATTGTGCATTCTAGAATCATGCCTTTGTTTGTGCTGTTCCCTTTGCCTGTTGTTTTTTTACCCTTCCTCTCACTTTTTTACCTAGTAAATTTGGGTTACCACTAACTGCAGTTTTTTTGTTCTCTGTAGCTCAAAGGATTTTAATTTTGCATATGCTTCTAGTTTCTCTCCTTAGAATTTCTTGAGATTAGGGCTAAGTCTTATTCATTTTTGTATCTTTTTCTTTGTTTAGGCTGGATGTGACTGGTTATATTTAAGTGTATCTTGCTTTTAGGTAAGATAATTTATAAGCTCTGTTTGTAGGGGGCTTTAGAGGTGTCTGTTCATCTTGTGTTATATTTTGATTTATGTGGGCACTTTATGCTATTTGATGTACAGTACCTCTCTACATATGTATGTGTAATGTGCGGATGCAGAGAATGGCTCTGCAAAGATAAAGATTCTTTATTATGTTAAAGGAGTCAGTGAGTTCTTCTATTTGTATTCAATTAATGGAATGAATCTGTTCATTCCTAGATAGTTGTGAATAACTGTGAAATACTGTATTACCTACTAAAACATGTGTTTCAGGTTTTTTGTTTTTTTGTTTTTTTTGTTTTTTTTGAGACAGAGTCTTACTTTGTTGCCCTGGGTAGAGTGCCGTGGTATGGTATCACAGCTCACAGAAACCTCAAACTCTTGGGCTTAAGTGAATCTCTTGCCTCAGCCTCCCAAGTGGCTGGGACTACAGGTGCTCGCCCCAATGCCGGGCTATTTTTTTTGTTGCAGTTGTCACTGTTGTTTAGCAGGCCCAGGCTGGGTTTGAACCCACCAGCCTCAGTGTATGTGGCCGGCACCCTACCTAATGAGCCACGGGTGCCACCAGTGTTTAGGTTTTTGACTTGCTTTTTTATCCAATGATAATATTGAATTTAAAGTTGAAACTTGCTTACTCTTGACATTCACGATAACTTTAGTTACTTGAGGAGGGAGGTGGTCTGGCTACCCTAGTAAGTGGAATGACCTTTTAAAAATTCATTAGATATCTCTGAACTTGGGTTTTTTAATGTATCAAGTTCAAAGAATCTTGCCTGCTTTTCCTTTCTGAGACTCCCTTTCACAACTCTACTCCCTGAAACTCCAAATACAGTGTTCCTTCTCACCTGTGTCCCCTGCCAGTTGAAGGCTCTATTTAAGTTAGTATGAATTCACTCAGAAATGTTCAAATAGTTTTTTATTCTTAATAATAAAGAAATTAGCAGTAGTCAGAGAACAGTTTATGTGACTAAAATTAACCCCCCCCCAATATGTTAAACTGTAAATAGGAGAATTTTATCCTGCATTTTAGCTAGTAACTATGCCGTTTTCCCCTTCTCATCTTATAGAATTTTGAGGGGGAGGAGACCAATTAAAGTAAAGATTTTTTCCTTTGCTTTCCTTCCCATCTTCATTTCATTTGTTTCAGGGATGCGTTTGGAAGCTGGTGTGTTGAGAGTGAAGTATAAGGAAAGATAACTCATTTGTTGTTAATCAGGAACATTCCATGCTTTGAGGAGATTTTATGCTGATGTATTTCCTGTTGACTTTTTCTGTCAGTGGTATAAAGTACACTTTACTTTCATTTTAGTTTATTGTTTTTTCTTTCTTGGCTTTTTTAAGAACACTCACAAGTAAGTTCTAAATATTAGAGCCTATGTATTTTTGGATGGTTTATCCTTATGTGCCAAAGAGAGTCAGTTAAGAAAGGTTCTTTGCAAGCACTACCTTCTTAGCAGAACTTTTTATTTTTATTTATATATTTGTTTGTTTATTTATTTATTTTTGAGACAGAGTTTTACTTTGTCACCCTCGGTAGAGTGCTGTGGTGTCATAGCTCACAGCAACTTCTAACTCTTGGGCTCAAGTGATTCTCTTGCCTAAGTTTCCCACTATAGCCAGAATGCCCGGCTATTTTTAGAGTTGAGGTCTCGCTCTGGCTCAGGCTAGTTTCGAACCTGTGAGTTCAGACAATCCACTCGTCTGTACCTCTTAGAGGGCTGAGATAGCAGACCTTTTAAGGAGTTCATTATATAATATGAAAAAATTATTGAATTTTAGTCAGGTTGATATTATCACATTTGTTCATTTTATGGAAACCAAGGCACAGTGAGGTGAAATAAATCCCATTGGTGTGGACTGTAACCTATTTGTTCTAATTTCCAGTTTAGTGCATTCTCCCCCATTTCTGTGTTTCCTAAGCTTTTAACCAAGGAACTCATAGGTCCCATGTTTTGAAATATCTTGCCTATCAAAAAGTATCTAAGTGTTATTGACTAATAACAGTTTCTCTTTTTTATATACTGAGCTGTCAGTTTTGAATCAGTATTTACAAACCACTAACATGAGTCTAGTCAAAGGCAAAGACATTAGACCTAATGAAGGCTGAGTGTGTAATTTCTTATAGACATTCTGAAAAATTGGAAACTGCTCAAGAAGCACCTGTTCTACCTTTGCAGACACCTAGAGGGGAGGTATGGAGATCTCAACTGAGGAATTATTGTACTGTATGTTACTTTCTTTAAACTGTAGGTTGACAAGAGTCACTGAGGATTGGGTTCTGAAGTCCGTTTATGAATGTTCTGAGACTTTTTTTCCTCACCTCAAGTATTTAGAAAGAGACTTTAGAGGTAATTTATTCTAGAGTTTCAAACTTTATTGAG